TTATAGACACGATTAGAAAGAATCATTCCATCTCCCAATAATATTTATTTAAAAGAATTAAAGAATCAATAAAGAAATTTTTTTGAAAAACAAAAGATTTTAAAAGGAATGTAGAAATCTTCAAACGAATAATAATGAATTTTAGATTTTAAGAATCCATTAACTAATAACAATGGAATCTAAAAAATTTAAGAATCTACATAAATCCAAAAAAAAAATTCTAAAGACATTCTCTAGGTTTCTCTCTTGTTTGTTTTCCATATTTGGGAGACTCAAATGCATTAGCAGGCCGTGGATCTCCCAATCGGATCAATCCTCCTACAAAAATGATACCAGATTGATTCTTAAACATTAAGTTACTAGGAAGCAACGAAATCCACAATTTTGGTCATAAAACAAACATAGCAAAGTAGAAAAAAACAAGTGAAAATTTTCCATGAGCATGTGGCAATGTTTTCATGTGCCTAGAAGGAACGCATAAGAAAACAAAGTGAATCACTAAGTGATAGTTAAATGTTAGAGAACTGATCAAAGTATCATACATGTCTAACCTCCAATATGAAATGACTCTGTGTTAAGTAAATTGTATTCTAATCAAGTAACAAATAGCTGTGGGAGCACATTACTATGTTTACTATGATTAATATCACAAAGTATTTTGAGAAAATTACATTACTTGGGAGCATTACTGAATTTAAATACTAAAATTTTGAAATTAGTAACCAAAATGTGTTCAAATAAAGACGTTGTTTTCCAAGAATTTGTACATTATCAAAAGCTAGCCTCAAAAACACAAAAGAATAAAAAAAAATGATGCTCAAAAATTTCTTAACAAATGCACAAAAACGACAAAATGACATATATGTGATGATGTCATTGATATTAATGTATTGATATGAATTTTGACAATAATTTGTAGAGTGTGTGAATTGGTTAAATCTTATATCTTAGAGTAGTTTTTTTTAATGAGAATTGAAAATATTAGTTGGAGAAAAAAGTAACTAGAAAACATGATTTTATTTGTTGGTTAATCTTTGCTATCAATTTTACCGAAAGGAACAGAGCAGTCTTCCAATAAATTGACAACAAACATTACAAAAGACTAAAACTTGAAACGAATAAAAGGGTAAGTGAGTCTTTATTTAGAGACATGTACCTGTTTTGATACATGAGATTTACTTGTTTCTATGACAAGATTACGATGACAGTTTCTAAACTCTGGTTCTTGTTTGAGAGAAAGTCCATTAGGTCTAGGAGATGCAATAACATGATCAACACTCAAATTATTTACAACAACATCACATTTTCTTGGCTTCTTCAAGGGATTCTCATGAAGATTAGACATAGAAGCATTGCGGTGAGTTCCACAACCAGGTGGAAAATCTCAAACTGCGTAGAAAATTGGTCGCTTAGGAGATCGATCCATGTTCCTGTAGAAACATTACAATGCACTAAATCAACTTCTTTCGTAATCAATCACAATCGGTTCTATGATTTCAATTTCTAAACCCAAAACACAATAGCCAAAAAGAAGAAACTATTAACCAGAATCGATTATAAGAGATAACGATACATTTGATCTGATACACTCCAATAACTGATTCCCGGTTATTTGTAGAAAACAATCAATTCTCTGTAGTAGAAAGCAATTGTTAGATCGTTTTAAAAGACATACGACACTAAAAAATTATTACTTTTGTGGTTTTTCATATGCATTTGCAACTATGTCACATGCATCGAGCACAATTTATGCAATGTCTCTTTTTCTTTTACTACCAAGAAGCTTTTGTCTTTCTGTTGAGCTCATAACGTTGTCATCTCTTATTTCTGTTTCAACATGCATCAAACATCATCTTTTTGTGTGTCTGTTTTAACCATGAAGAATGCATTAAAGACTTTATGTGTTTTTTTAATTGAAAAATAAACATATGCTAAAATTTAACTCTTTTTAAGTG